AAAAAAAAAAAAAAAAAAAAAAAAAAAGAAATGACAGAAAATCCTAAATGACCAGCACATAGTCTGCTATATGACTACAGTAATACTCTTAATTTCTAAATGCACATTTGAAGAAATACTCTATTAATCTGTAGCAAACTAGAAATGGTCTTTTCAGTAACATTTGTCATGTTATAAAGGGCATGTTCACCTTTCCTTCTGAGAAATCATATATCCATCTAGGACTCTGAGGTTTAAGCACCAGCTGACGATGTACGGCCGATAGTCAAATCCTGGGATGGAAGGTGTTGCCATCACACAAGGATTGTTCATAATCGACAACTGTTCCAATTCAGTTAAGGATGCCAAAAAAGAGATCTGGAACAAAAGATATCTTTGTTGAACAAAAGGACTATTCAGTGTCAAGCACAAGGTTTCCACTGATTACACATCTTTGGCAGCATTTGAGAATGTGATAATTTCCCTGTTGTTCTGAAAAGTGACAAGCATCCACTGACTTCTAAAATTCCAACAATATAGCCATCCGTCCCTGCTGCACAAAATCCCTTAGCAAGTATCAGCACACTGTTTCCTAGCAGAAAGAACCGTATTTTGAAAACATCACAGCAGCCAGGAAAGTTGGACAGGGAGTCTTATAAACCCTTATGAGGTAGATGTCCCTCTACCACCAATCACTTCCCAATGGAATGATAATTACAACTTTACAAAGGAAATTAGATCTCAATGACCCACTGACACTAAGGAAAAGTGGAAAGAAAACTAACGGTCATCTAGAGGCAAGCATTTCATCTGAAGGGAAGTTTCTTCCAAAATGCTCACAGTCTAAAAGCAAGCTCACAACCCTCTCTAGTGTCTTTCCTGGACTCTCCAGCTTCTTGAATCTCACAAAATACCCTCAAATTTTACCTCATTTAAGTCTCGGATTTCATTTTCTGCCAAAGAAAGTATAGCAAGACTTCTGGGTAGGTAAGCAGGTGCCATTCTAAGAGAGGTGATGATGTTTCCATGTAAAAGCAGGGTCTTGAAAGTAAAAACAGTATGAATTACAAATAAAAAGATTACAAATAAATTGGCCTATTGTGACAACGCCAAAATGGCATATATAAGAATAAAGGAATCTACTTTATTGTACTTCTTATCACACACAAATCAAAGACTGTTAATGCTAGAAGGGTCCTTGATGTTCTTCTGGTCCAACCCTCTGTTTCCATACCAATACCCTAAGCTCCAGATACTTTAAAGACTTGCCTTAAAACACATTGTTGGCATGGCAATAGGCGTGCTATGAGATTTATGTTATGAGACACTGAGCAATTTCCAACATACTTGTTCAGTTTCTTTTAAAACATCAAAATACAGGCTACATGTGGTGGCTCTTGCCTATAATCCCAGCATTTTGGGAGGCCAAGGAGGGAAAATTGCTTGAGCCCAGGAGTTTGAGACCAGCCTGGGCAACATAGTGAGACCTTTTCCCTACTAAAAATCAAAAAATTAGCCAGGCATGATGGGGTGCACCCGTAGTCCCAGCTACTAGGGAGTACTGAGGTAGGAGAATCGCTTGAGACCAAGAGGTTGAGGCTGCAGTAAGCCATGATTGCAGCACTGCACTCAAGCCTGGGTGACAGCAAGACTCTGGTGTCTCAAGTTAAAAAAAAAAAAAAAGGCATTAAACAACCACATATAAAGTAAATTTTCTAAAAAAGAGAGCGATAACCTACAACCCATATTTGCAACTGTATTCTCTAGGTAACTAAAAACTAGAGGAAGGTAGAATGTGTTACTTTCAGATGAAGCTGACTCACATTAAGTCAGCCACAAACAAGAATAAACTCAAAACTAAACACCCAGGATTCTGATCAGATAAACGTGCTTCTATTCCAGGGGAAAACAAAACAAAACAAAAAAACACACAAAAAAAACAAACATTCAATCATCTTTAGCTCATTTGAATTCTCTCAGCATCTATCAGGACAGCATCTGGCTACATATAATTGTTTAGAATAAATATTGCTAAAAATGATTTCTGCTAAAGATCTGGGAAAAACTGAACTAAGATACTGCTTCTAGGGCTTAATGAATACATCTGATGCTAATAATAAACAGAGGCAACAAACAATATTTAGAATGTCCTACATATGTTTTTCAAGACTATGATTTCAATTGTTACTTGACTGCATGATACATTCCCCTCCATAAAAAGTGCTATATGCTACATGTTTTTGTTGTCTTTTTTTTTTTTTTTTTTTTTTTTTTTGAGATGGAGTCTCGCTCTGTCGCCAGGCTAGAGTGCAGTGGCGCAATCTCGGCTCACTGTAACCTCCGACTCCTGGCTTCAATTGATTCTCCTGCCTCAGCCTCCTGAGTAGCTGGGACTACAGGCATGTGCCACCATGCCTGGTTAGTTTTTTGTATTTTAGTAGAGATGGGGTTTCACCACATTGGCCAGGATGGTCTCAATCTCCTGACCTTCTGATCCACCCGCCTTGGCCTCCCAAAGTTCTGGGATTACATGCGTGACACACCGAGCCCAGCCTTACATGTTTATTTTTTTAAGTGAAACTAATTTTGATAATTAACTAATACCCATTACTTTAAAAATAGCAATCCTGAATTTAAAAAAAAAAAAAAAACTCAGCCAGCTCGGTGGCTTACACATGTAATCCTAGCACTTTGAAAGGCTGAGGCAGGAGGACTGCATGAGTCCAGGAGTTTGAGACCAGTCTGGACAACAGAGTAAGATCTCATCTCTGGCCAGGTGGAGTGGTTTACGCTTGTAATCTCAACACTTTGGGAGGCCAAGGCAGGAGGATCATGTAAGGTCAGGAGTTCAAGATCAGCCTGGCCAACATGTGGTGAAACCCCGTCTCTCCTAAAAATATAAAAATTAGACAGGTGTGGTGGCGGGTGCCTATAATCCCAGCTACTCAGGAGGCTGAAGAAGAATCATTTGAACCCAGGAAGCAGAGGTTGAAGTGAGCCGAGACTGCACAACTACACTCCAGCCTGAGTGACAGAGCAGAACTCCATCTCAAAAAAGAACAACAACAAAAAAGATCTTATCTCTATAAAAACTCAAAAAATTAGCTAGGTGTGGTGATGTACACATGCCTATGGTCCTAGCTACTTGGGAGGCAGAGGTGAGAGGATTGCTTGAGCCTGGGAGGTCAAGTGAGATCGAACCACCACACTCCAGCCGGGGTGACAGAGCAAGACTGTCTCAAAAATGAAGACAGACTCAAATTCAGGAATGATGAATCTCAACCTCACCAAAGATTATATACTATATAATAAATAAAGCTACTAGCATTGGTTGGTTGGGCATAGAGGGAATTCCATCATGTTCAGAAAGTTGTCAGTAAAATTAACCTCAACTATAATGACCAGTTTCACATCAAATAAATCAGTTACAGAACTAACAATGAAAAGTTCCATACTTAATTTCTGGTATTCTAACATAATTCCTTATTTTTTTTTTTTTTTTTTTTTTTAAAAAAATTTTTTTTTTTTTTTTTTTTTTTTTTTTTTGGAGACAGAGTCTCAATCTGTTGCCCAGGCTAGAGTGCCATGGCCCAAGCTCAGGTCACTGTAACCTCCACCTCCTGGGCTCAAGCAATCCCACCTCAGCCGAGTAGCTGGGACTACAGTCCCACACCACTATGCCCCACTAATTTTTTGTATTTTTAGTAGAGATGGGGCTTTGCCATGTTGCCCAGGCTGGTCTCAAACTCCTGAGCTCAAGCCATCCACAAGCCATAGCCTCCCAAAATTCTGGGATTACAGGCATGACTCACCATGCCCAGCCCATAATTCTTATCATAAAGAAAATAATCTGCTCATACACAGTAGGCTAATTTTAGGTCAGTAAGATTACTTCCTCTTGGTATTTTGATGTAAACTTAACAAATGACATAGAAAACATACTTACTTTCAGGGATACCAATTTAGATAGATCACCTATCTGAGATATGTTATTATCTGATAAATCGAGATGCTGTAGAGCTGTGCAGCTATTGATCTGTTCCATGGCCTATCACAAGAAAAGCATCACATTATTTAATGAAAACAAAATCAAAACATAAAATTATTCCCTAGTTCTTTGTAGCTGAAAGAGTGTCCGGCCTCCTCTTATTATTAGAAGCAGAGTAGAAGAACTTAGCAAGAGAAAAGGGGGCAATACTAACAGAATTTAGTAGATTGTCACGTTGTAAACTTACATTTTCATTATCTCTCTATGAGTAGAGGGTTACCAAATGGTTCATACCATCCAAGATATTTACAGCTTGAAGAAACCTTAGTAATAGCCAGGCACTGTGGCTCATGCCTATAATCCCAGCACTCTGGGAGGCTGAAGTGGGTAGATCATCTGAGGTCAGGAGTTCAAGACCAGCCTGGCCAACATGGTGAAACCCATCTCTACTAAAAAAAAAATACAAAAGATTAGCCAGGCGTGGTGACAGCGCCTGTAATCCCAGCTATTCAGGAGGCTGAGGCAGAAGAATCACTTGAACCCAGGAGGTGGAGGTTGCAGTGAGTTGAGATCATGCCACTGCACTCTAGCCTGGCAACAAGAGTGAAACTCTGTCTCAAAAAAAAAAAGAAAAAGAAAAAGAAATCATAGTAATAATATATGACATTTGGTATAGAAAAGAGTTTACAACTTTAGATTGAGACCAAACAGCTTGGATTTATATTCTGGCTCTGCAACTTCCTAGCTGTGTAACCTCAAGCAAGTTACTTAACTTCTCTGTGCTTCACTTTCCTCACCTTTATAACAGGCATAATATCTACATCTACTTCATATGCTGTCATGAGATTGAATAAGTTAATACAGATAAATGCTTAGAACAGTAGCTCATACACATTAATGGCTTAATAAAAGGCAGCTATTAGTATCATTTAATCCAGTCCTCTCAGCTAGCATGTAAAAAAATAAAACAGAAATATGTATTAATTTACCCAAAATTACACAGTTACTAAGTCATGGAAGTAGGACCAGAATTCAGATCTCCTGACTTTTAAAACTGTATATTCTCCATTATAGCATTAAACATCTACTTAAAGTTTAATACATCATGATATAGTCTCCTTCCTAAACACTCTATGGTTTGATCTACTTTTCTTTAGTACAATATAGATTCTTTGTTAACATTTAAAAAAAATTATACCATATTATATGTTTCAAAATAAACATATAATATGGTTTAACAGAGATTATCCCTGGAACGTGGGAGTGGGTACTTTCACTTTTTAATTTGGCTTATTTCTACATTGCTTGAATTTTTTTATGCAGAATAGTTTTGTAGACAGAAAAGAAAGCATTCACCTTAAGATTATTTCCTGCCAAATTCAGCCATTCCAGATGTACTAGTTCCTTTAGCCCTTCCACAGAGCCAATGCTATTGTGAGGTAAATTTAATACACGAAGCAATGTCAGTTTGGCCACACCCATCATCCGAACCAGCCGATTATTAGCCACTGATAACTGTGAAAAGGAAACATATTGTTATTTTTAGGAATAATATATATAAAATATTTCACCTTTAAGTGACTTAAAAGGTTTATTCAGACAGCCAAACACTCTCAAACAAACTCCTTTTGTATATTTCACATACATTGTCTAAATATTCTAATATGACTATCAGTTTTTTGTTATTGTCCCTGAGCAATAGAAAATGCAGAGAAAGCTCAGTGATCAGACCTCCTCCCACTACTGAGACATTTTTAACACAGCAACAATTTGAGAATGTAAGTTCCATGGAATAGGGTTCTTACACTCTTTCAGTCAAAACTTAATACAGTGCCAGACATATAAGTGGGACTCAGTAACCATTTCTTGAATGAAGGAATGAATGAACTCTTTGCCTCCATCATGAAGTAAAAGGTTACTTTAGTAACCCAGTATTTCGCCAACATAAAATGCTTACTTTTCTTAACAATGCTTCTTTTCCTAATCTACTCTCAATGTAGTACATGTATGCTCATCTTCAGAAGAAACTGTCATGTAAAAATTTAAGGCAACAATTACTGACTGCTTTTTAGGCCTGCACAGTTACTTCTGGTCAGGTTATTTTATTGTTTTGTTTAATAATAAATTGGTCCTACATAACCATTTCCCAAACTGCAATACCCACCTGTATTAATCGTTTGCATTTCTCCAGATTTTCCAGTTTAATAATCTGATTTTTATCCAGAATCAAAGTGTGAATATCAGCTTCACAGGGTAAATTTGGACCTAATTTCTGTAGTCCCTGCCCTGACCAATTGACCACTGATCCTTGAAAAGAAACGGAAGTGTTAGAGAACACAGATAAAATAAAATATCTACAACAGCTGACCATAGGGGTAGAATTATAAAATCTCTATACATTTCAAGTTAAAAAACGGTAGAGCATAACAAATATCAACACTTTAAAATCAAAGCAATCTTGAGTTCAAAATGACCAGACTGTATTACTCATTTTTCTTCAGAAATATCAAATTAAAACTAGATTTGTGATATTCTCCTCAAGTTTGTATGATATACTTTGGAAATCTTCACATCTAAATATGAACGATTACTTCCATTTGTTGTGCCTAAGTAATGATACTATTGTTTAAATTTTAGTACTAAGCCTTTGACTGCAATCCACCAGCTTACAGCCTAACTGCCAATATATCCTAAAGTGCCCAAACTGTGATTTTGAAAATCAAAGTATAGTTCAACTAATTCGCCCATAAAATAGGATAATATACCTATTCAGGGCACTCAATAAAGCACTTTAGTACAACAGACGTTCAAACCCTGCCTCTACCAGTTAACCACTGTGGTATAGTAGGCAAATTGTTGATTTCTTTGGTGCTCACTTTTCTACTCTGTAAAATGGGGTAACACCTGCCTTATAAATGTAGTTCTACAGAGAAAATGAGCTAATGTTAAAAAAATAAAAATTAAAAATATAGCACTGAGAACACGGCCTGGGTCATAAAAAGTGCTCTGTCAATGTTAACTGCCATTAACAGTTAAGTAGCCGTGGTGAGCTAGAGAGGTGGGGCTTAAGAAAAGCCGATCTCCAAAAGAGGGCGGGGCCAGAGAAACTGCCAATTTCGAATTTATAGCCAGATTAGGACTACTGCAGGAAATAATTATGCCAGACTGCTCTCCTGGAGGATGTCAACGTTTTCCCATTGTCTAATGGCTCTTAGCATGTGAGGAATCGTGAGCCCCTCTGAAAATTTGGTGAAAGCTGTGTGCTGTCTCAGAAAAGCGCACAGCCTTTGTACACAATTCCAAGAGGTCGACAAACAGCTCTGAGGGTTCCACCAACTCTTTCCGCAAGCATTTACGGCTCCCAGAAAATGCACTCCTGGTCTAAGCCGTGAAGACGGGCCTCGACCCCTGGGCCCTGTCTCCGATTTAGAGGACTGACTGCTGCCAAGCCTCGGAGCGGTAACCAAAACAAAAGGAGCTCGCGTCCGGCTCCCCAAAGAGGTATCTTCAGGCCACGGAAGCACCCACACACTCCTGTGCTCTACTGGGCAGCGACCAAACTAGATCCTAGGACCCATGTGAAGAACAAGGAGTACAGAACTGTGGACTCTGGATCATCCCCTAGATTTTAACACGGCCACTGGCCACCTCTGAGGAAGGGTTCAAAGCCAGTCTAGGCAGCGGTCTCTGAAGGTAGGTTTTCCTGAACATTCTGGAAACCAAGGAGAAAGGGGGATGTGTGAACCAAAAGACGGAGATCCCAAACATTTCGCTTAGGCAGCCAGGACTCAAAGTAAATGACCAAGAAAGGTCATCTCAGCCTGAAACCCACCGCCTCCTCAGCATCTGGAGCGCGGGAGCCAGGGCGCCGGGCCGCGCGAAGGCTTCTGGGGGCTGTAGTCCCTGCCTCGGCCCTCACCGCGACGCGGGAGAGCTGGGCACGGCAGGCGAACTACAACTCCCAGAGGGTAGAGCGCCTCCGCGACGACCACAGCCCCGCATCAAAAGAACTGGTCCAGAACTCACCTTTAAACCTAGGCTTTCTCCTCTCCACTATTTAATTCAGCTCCATGGAGTAAACTTTAGGACTCAGGGGTAAGCATCACCTTACCTTCTCCGGGAGGCAAACCCGCGTCCACGCGCGCCACCGCCATAGTTGCTGCTTGCTAGTAATACCAGGCAACCGTCCTCCCGCGGCTCTGTGGAGCTTGTAGTCTGAAGGAGGGAGCCGGAAACTATAACTCCCAGGATGCACGGCTCCCAGACGGCCCAATTGGCTGCTTAACGCCTAATGATGTGAAGCCGGAGTTAGAATTTGAGAGTAGTGAGCTCAGGGACCCTGGTCCACTCGCCTGACGTGAGTTAACTGCTTTATTTGATGGTCATTTCACTTCCTTGTCCAGGTGTTTGCGGAATTTGATACTTTTACCGTCGGGACGATTGTAAGGAGGCTACTGTATGCAGACTGAATTTGACAGCTCATTGCTGGAAGTCTGTGGGAACTACTCCATTCTTTTGATGATTGTGAATAAGCTGAAACTTCAACTCCGCTATAGGAATGAGCGATCTTGTTGAGATCATAAAAGTGAATGCATTTTATTTGAGAATTTATTTAAGTAAAAGTAAAGCATGCTGAAATAGAAACTTTTATACAGTATTTTTAAGTGGTTGTTCTGGAATATTTGACAAATCTTTTGACTTAGGGCTATAAGTATGAACCAAGAGCTTTTCCAGGGGGTATTCAAAATAAGTTTAAAATACAGTCTCCAGGCCGGGCGTGGTGCCTCATACCTGTAATCCCAACACTTAGGGAGGCCGACGCAAGCGGATCACCTGAGGTTCGAGACCAGCCTGACCAAAATGGAGAAACTCCGTCTCTACTAAAAATACAAAATTAGCCGGGCATGGTGGCGCATACCTGTGATTTCAGCTACTCTGGAGGCTGAGGCAGGGGAATCACTTGAACCCGGGAGGCGGACGTTGCAACGAGCCCAGATCGGGCCATTGTACTCCAGCCTGGGCAACAAGAGCAAAACTCCGTCTCAAAAAAAAAAAAAAAAAAAAAGAAAAAAATATATATATGGTTTCCAACTTCAAGAATTACGTTGCCTAGTTGAAAGGAAGCTGGCTCACATTTTTTTTAAAGAGACTTTCTTTTTTTGCCCAAGCTGGCCTTCAAATCCTGAGCTCAAGTGATCCTTCCACTTCGGCCCCACAAAATGCTGAGATTACAAACATGAGCCACCACCCCCCCCCCTTTTTTTTTCTTTTTTTTTGAGACAGAGTTTCACTCTTGTTACCCAGGCTGGAGTGCAATGGCGCGATCTCGGCTCACCGCAACCTCCGCCTCCCGGGTTCAGGCAATTCTCCTGCCTCAGCCTCCTGAGTAGCTGGGATTACAGGCACGCGCCACCATGCCCAGCAAATGTTTTGTATTTTTAGTAGGGACGGGGTTTCACCATGTTGACCAGGATGGTCTCGATCTCTTGACCTCGTGATCCACCCGCCTCGGCCTCCCAAAGTGCAGGGATTACAGGCTTGAGCCACCGCGCCCGGCCTGAGCCACCCCGTTTGATACAACTATTATATGCTAAATGGTGTGATTGTGATTGAACTCAGTAAGATTTCAGGGAATGGAGAGAGAAATAGAATCTGAAATCTTCAGTGAAGACTTTATGGAGGAAGTAAAATGTACCCATCTTTTGATGGGTAGACTCTGAACAGCTGAAAAGCAAAAGGTGAAGACATTAGCACAGGCTGCAGGTGGTAACGAAGTAGTGCTCACAGGAAGTGAGAAACTAGCGTGCATCTGTAGTCCCAGCTACTCGGAGGGCTGAGGCAGGAGAATCGCTTGAAGCTGGGAGGCAAAGGTTGCAGTGAGTAGAGATCACGTCACTGCACTCCAGCCTGGCAACAGAGACTCCGTCTCAAAAAAAAGAAAGGAAGAAACTAAACGGTAGACGAAAAAAGCTTCTGCTTTCTACTACCAACTCTCCCATTTCCTCCTGCAACCTTTATTTTGAAGAGAGCACTTTTATGAAACAGCAAACACCAAAGTCTGATTATTTTTGCTTGGGAAAATCTAGTAAGTCATGCTTCTAGATTTCCAGGCACTGGATTCTCTGAGCATTCCCTCCTTCCTGGGTTCTCCTATCTCTCTACACTTTTTTTCACTCCTTTTGAATCTTGTTTCCTGCTGTTTTGGTCTAAAGACAAATTTCCTAGCTCTGAAGGGGAAATTAAGATTTTTTTTCCTTCTAACCAAGAAACTCCTTACCTAGAGAACACAATCTTTATGTGTAAGAACAAAGCAAGGTCAGGTGAGGTGGCTCACCCTGTAATTCCAGCACTTTGGGAGGCCGAGGCAGGTGGATCACCTGAGGTTAGGGGTTCAAAACCAGCCGGGCCAACGTGGCGAAACCCCATCTCTACTAAAAATACAAAATGGTGGCACATGCCTGTAATCCCAGCTACTTGGGAGGCTGAGGCAGGAGAATCACTTGAACCTAGGAGGCAGAGGTTGCTGTGAACTGAGATCCTGCCACTGCACTCCAGCCTGGGCAACAAGAGCAAAACTCCTTCTCAAAACAAAAAAGAACAAAGCAGCCTGAATACCTATGTTGACCCTTAATCCCTGGAATAGGCCATACAGATCTGGTAGAAAGGGTTTACAGTTCTTTCCAATTTAGTAAGGTGTAAGGGTAGCTGAGTGAAAGGAGAATAGACCCAAAGTCAGGCAAGAAAATTTTATTAACCTGCCGGGCTGCTCGATAACAGAGGAGGCAGCCCTGAGCTTACACCACCAGGGGTTTATATAGGGTGAGAGGGGCATAATCTATTTACTGGTAACAGGCACAAACTGAGGTAGTTTGTTAACTTATAACAGACCTACAATACATTATCCTGTGACTTTTGTGGCAGCAGTCTTTAAAAAAAGACAGAAACCAGGATTTTTTACAGATATGTGTCCAGCAGGAATTTACAAGTATGGATAACCAACATGTTTTCCCTGTCCTCCCTGGAGCTGCCCGTGCTGCCCCGATAGCTGTAATTAGGCTTTGCTTAATTGTCTGGCAACCTTGATGTGGCAACTAGGTAGGGGTTCAGCTGCAGAGCAATCAGAGGGGGTGGGGTCAGCCTGAGCGGGTGGGATCAGCCTGCGCAGAGGGGGTTTTCTGAGGCAGCACAGCCCCGTCCCTAACACAAGGTAATTACTTGGTAGGAAGGTCCTGGAAGCTTAAAAGGTACTTAAGAAGCACAGTTTCCTGCAACTTTACAGCAATAGCTAAAACATTATTTTGCCTGGTTCATCTGCCCTAGAATCCACAGGAAAGAACCAAAGGACTTTTTTTTATGGGGGCTAAGTATAGTCACAGCTCTTAAAGGGAGTAGCCAGATTTTCCTGGGCAAGGTCTCACATGCCCAAGTGACTCAGCAACCCTTTAAAATTACAGCACGGAAACTCTTTTGTGCTTCAAATAACAGCCTTTACACCTAAAATCAAATTGCTACATTTTAAACTGCCTTATTTTGTATATAATGTTAAACCCTATAGGCTCCAACCAAATTAGGATTCTATTAAACTATTAAAACTATGAACCTCTCAGTAAGGTAATGTTTCTCTGGCAGGCCCAGGCCCTATGAGAAGGACTTCCCTTTCAGCACAGTATACTTGATCCCTGCCACAGCCAATTACCCTGATCTTTGCCATCTTTAATTCATCTGCCCACAGTTACTGGCATGATCTAAGTAAAACGATGCCTTTTAGCATGTTATTCCCCTTCTCACTTGAAGTTCAATTTGCAAGGGCCACCATAATCTGGCCTCACCCTACCTCCCACCATTCATCCCACTGGTTTTCATTTGTTGGTTTTGAGGGAGGGATTGACATAAAGATACTCGTGTTTTAGAAAGGTTAAACTGCTCATATAACAAGGATGAACTGAAAGGAAGAATAGTGGCAGGAAGGAAATGGTAGTAATGGAGGCTAGTAACCTTCAACAGCAGTTTCAGGAGAATATTATAAACAAGTTTTTAGATAACACAGAGTTAAGAGACTAGGTAGGCAAGAAACTGGAACATTTACCTTGAGGAAATGAAGGTGGTTTTCTAACTAGGATTGAAATAATCATATTTGAAAGAATATAACTTTGAAGTTTTCATTCAAATTTTAAAGCAAAAAAGTTACTAATATAAAGAATTTTAACACTGTAAAGATTTGGAAAACATGCAATTTTTTTTTTTTTTTTTTTTTTTAGACAGAGTCTGGCTCTATCACCAGGTGCCAGGCTGGAGTGCAGTGGCATGATCTTGGCTTACTGCAACCTGCACCTCCCAGGTTCAAGCAATTCTCCTGCCTCAGCCTCCTAAGTAGCTGGGACTACAGGTGTGCACCACCAAAACCACCTAATTTTTTTGTATTTTTTAGTAGAGATGGAGTTTCACCATGTTGGCCAGGATGGTCTCGATCTCTTGACCTTGTGATCTACCCGCAAATTTTTTTAACAATAAATTTTTTTTTTTTTCTCAACACAGGGTTTTGCTTTGTTGCCCAGACTAGAGTGCAGTGGTGCAATCCTCCTGGCTCACTGCAACCTCCACTTCTTGGGCTCAAACAATTCTCCCAATTGAGCCTTCTGAGTAGCTGGGACTACAGGTGCACACCACTACACCTGGCTAATTTTAATTTTTTATTTTTTTTATTTTTATTTTAAAAAAGAGATGGGGTTTCTCCATGTTGGTCTGGCTGGTTTTGAACTGCTGACCTCAGGTGATCCACCTGCTGCAGCCTCCCAAAGTGCTGGGATTACAGGCATGAGCCACCTCGCCCGGCTTTTGTTTTATTTTGTAGGCAGAGGTCTCATCATATTGCAATCCTCCTGCCTTGGCCTCCCAAAGTGCTGGGATTATAGGTGTGGGCCACCATGCCTGGTTTAACAATAAAAAATATTCATGCAAAGGTTTAGGTGCAAAAAATTATAAATATTTCCTTCCTTGATTAATATTCATGTGTAGACTTTTCAGGTCCTGCTTCTTATGTATGACCTATGGCATGGAAAGAGAGATTGCCAATAGGCACAGGTTATCCAGATGTCCCAAATGAGATTAACTTTCCTCATTATTAGTTATTATAATTATTATTTATATCCTACTACGTGGTAGGCTTTGTGATAACTAGTTTACATATATTAGCTCTAGTTTTCACAAAATCCCTACAAGTAGATGCCAAGAGATTATGTTACAGTTGTTGGAAACAATATAAAGGACACCCAGTTAAATATGAATTTCAGTTAAACAATGAATAATGTTTTAGTATAAGTATGTCCCAAATATTCATGCTGCAATATACATCTTATGCAATTCTTATATGCAATATTTAGGACACAGCTATACTTAAAAAAGTGCTGTTTATCCGAAATTCAAATTTAACTGGATGTCTTATATTTTTATTTGCATTTATATTTAATTTCTTAATTTCCAGCAACCTAGTAAGAAGGACAGACAGAATTTTGGTTTTGTTCGTTTGTTTGTTTTTTGAGACAGAGTCTTGCTCTGTAGCCCAGGCACAATCTTGGCTCAATGCAACCTCCACCTCCTGGGTTCAAGAGATCCTTCTGCCTCAGCCTGCCAAATAGCTGAGACTACAGG